ATATTTGAGACACACACACACACAGACAGACAGAGATTTCTTGCTTTTATAGAGAGATAATATTAATTTGATGTCCGGCTATTTCCCCTGGCATTACAGAGGCATTTGTCATTTATAATACACAAGACAGATAAGACTGAGTATAAAACCAGTAGTTTGGGACCCAGAGCAAAAGAGAAAATGGGAAAGAAAGAGAGAGAAACACAAAAACAAACCAACAGACAAACGACAAAACAAAAAGGACAAATCGTGCAATGTCCCCCCTAAAGTGCCCACCCCGTATATGCCCCCATTCCCACATAGCTTACATTAGTTGAAAAATACAGTAATGGATGTCTGATGCTTGCTCGTTTAAAACCGACGAGCTGCCAGAGCCAGTGTTCATGCAATCGGTTTAACATGTAGTGTTATCTGCTCCTAACGTTGTATTTTTAAATACCCTGAATATTATAGTAAACCAAGATTGAGTGGGAGAGCAACTTGAGTAGAGCATCGCAACCGCAAGCTTCAAAGTGGTCATATTCAGTGACATAACAGCGCACCTGTGGCCCACACAGCCGTGCTGTAGTTAGTTAGACTGTAAATTATGAAGTGGCAGTGCATAGTCCCAAGCCTATAATGACATTAAGCATGAAACAAAACAAAACCAAAAAGAGGTAAAATGGTTAGGACCACTACTGTTGTTATAACGAAACGAAATGAACATAACTTTCACAGCAGTCCGTAACAGTATGATAACATATTGTGACTAATACGCTAACCAGAATAGCATCACCTGAGTGTCATTATAGCCTTGGGACTGAGTGTATTTTTACTGCATAAGTGCAATAGTGAACATAGTAAACATTAAACCTGCTTTACATCAGCATCTTAGCAGTCATTGTGAGCATGTTAAGTACAACCGTATAGCCTCACAACGCTGCTAGCAGACTCACTTGAGACTTGTGTAATGTTTCAAAATAGAAGTGAAAACTGTAGAAATTGTTTATAAATTTTAATGTTTGTCACCAATGTGAGTTTTCTGTATTTAATCAGCAGCTTACCTCTCTGTTTCAGAATTTCAGCCTTGTAATTATCCTCTCCGACCAACTGGTCCAGCTTGAATTTGATCCAGCAGCCCTTAGTGTCTTTCTGCTGGCACTGCTTGCCTGGTATGGTGAACTGGTCTACCATCTCATGATATATACTCTCTTGGCAAGCCACACTGCAGTTTTTTTCAAAGGGACCTGAGTTAAAGCCAAGGCATTCAATGCAGTTTCTGGAAAAAAAATAACAACAATTAAAACTTGGTGAGTTGTGTATCAACTTTTTGTAATTTGATGAAGCAAACAATAACAATTTGGAAAAAATTAAAATTAAAATATGACATAAAAGTTTAGACTAATTACAATTTGGTCTGGCAAGGGTCTGGGCAGCCGAGGCATGTCTGGCATCGTGGACGCTGGTATCCCTCCTTACACTCACAGCGGTTACACTTGCATGACCCTCTGCCGAAGCACACGGTGTCGTTCAGGGTACGACAGGCCTCCTCTGACACCTTGCACTGACAGGCTGAACCCTCGTAGCCTTTATTGCATTCACATTTGCCACAGTTACACTTACCGTTTCCTACAAGTTGTGAGGAATGGAGAGGAGAGTTAGAGTGGTGACATACTTGCTTTTAACTACATGTGCATGCTACGCCTCATAGCTGGCATTCCCTCTGAGGGGCTGTTGTTTGTAACCTCAGGAATTATTGCCAAATATCTGCATTGTGCAACCAAGCCCATGAATAGTACGGGCAGAAGAATCTGAAAAACACACGAAAATTACAGAAAGCTATGAAGAGAATCTAAAGAGGGATGTGCAGTTAAGGACCAGTGTGTGTGATTTATGGCATCTAGCAGATTGCAACTAACTAAACACTGCTCATGTCAGTAAAAAATCTGTTGCTATTCACTAATACACATCTAACAGAGCTATCTTTGGTACAAACATGCTCACCTTGATCACTGCTCTCTATCAAAGTGACTTAAACAACATAAGCACAGTGATTGTACACTAAATGTCTCTTACTCTGATATGAGACGAGGTGAATCATAACATAACATAACCTTGCGAGGTAGCTGACTCACAAAAATCAAAAGATCAGGCAAGAAACCATCTTGCCAGGCATCAAGCTATGCTTTGGTGGCCACCACAGTGTTACCTGTATGGCCTTAGGGTGTGAAATGCTCAACCCCTGTCTAGTCAGAGACATTTTTGCATTTTCAATCCACAATCAAACATAAAGGTAAGAACTCCCTCCCTACTACCTTGTTAGATAGCAGTCTGAAAGACATCTAGCTTGCAAACATGAATATAAACAGGAGTCTCAAAGTCAAATTTTCTTGGGGCCACTGCTGGTATTGTCATCTCATACGAGGGCTACTTCAACGTTGAAGTACTGCAAGAAAGTGCAATATTCTGAAAATATTTGCATTACTAACAACATACCACAAATAGTAGTTTCTATACATTTATATATCACCATTTTATAACATTGCTGTTCCCAGCCAAACAACAAATGAAGCAAAACCTGCTCTCATATTATCAGCCATGTGCATTTGCCATTATTTTGCACCACACTAAATACAGTTTTGAAATAGATTTTTTTTTAAAATTTTAATTGTGTATAAAGAGGCAGTTTAAATTGATATGAAACAACTAGAAAATAATAATCCTGTGGACCGGATTACATTATATCTTTGGAAGTGACTGCACTTTGAGACCCATGATGTAAACAAAGCATGTTCCAAAATATAAAGAAAATGCCACCCAGTGCAAATGCATGATACAGATGATGTGTTTAAATTAGGAATACTGATACTGATAAACCATACTGGAAAAAGTCAATTCTTTGAAACTTTGAAAATGAGTGAAACTCTACCTCCACACAGTTTATTCCCGAACTTCTCACAGTGTTCATTGTCACACTCGCAGTAGTCACCATGGTAACTGCTTCCACTCTCTGTAGTGTGACACAGGCACCTGCCACACACACAATCTCCTCGACCCTCACACTCCATTGTGCCATTGTTCCTCTGACAGGATGCTCTCAGGGAACGCTCGTCTTTATCGCCAATGGAGCACTCGCAGAACTGACCGACGTAGCCTTCACTGCAGCTGAGTAAGTAGAAAGAGGAATTAAACCTATGATTAGCAGAGAAAACTATAAACTATAACCAAAACACAATAACATAATAACAGCTACCCTCTTTTTCACCCGCATCTATGATACATTTAATAATAAATATTTTCTTTGATCACTTTTGTGAGCTGAAACCCATTTTGTCCTCACCACTCTCAAGATTTCAGAACAAGACTTCTCCTTGAGCGAGACTTGATTGGACACACAGCGGATCAAGCGAAGGAACAGAAAATGTTTCCTTTCTTTGTAGGGTCGTGTTGTCAGACACTTCTAATAACAATCTGAGCTTGTCAATAGCAAAAACTAGTACTTTTAATAGACGTAATGTGACAGAGCGCAATTGCCCATTAGGATTATGTTGTTGTCGGTTTTGCAGCTACAGGACTCTCACTCAATAATGGACTAACTTCAAATTTGAATCATAATTGAATCAGAATCAAGATGCTTTACAAGGAATTAGATTTTTCATTGCTTTCCATGTATACACAGAAATGGATGTAACTTAATCTAAAAACAGTGACAACTGCACTACAACATCAAGGTATATTCTTCTTTGCTCCTGACAGAGGAAGTCATAATATAAGATTTTTTCAGAAAAACATAAATATAAGTAATTTTACATGTTTGAATTATTAAATGACACTGGCATTTTATGTGTTAAAGATAAACTCCTATGAAAATTCAGAATACATGTACTGTAATTTTTTAAGAAATCAATCAAACTTCCAGTATATGCCAGCTCACTCTCATTCTGTTGGAGGTGTAAACGCTTACCTGCAAATGCCACACTTGACTCTTCCCTTGCCCTTGCAGTGTGAGTGGATACTGCCATCAGGGTCTTTACATGCACAATCACAGTTTGTAGATAACGACACTGTCAATGTATCTTTAATACCAAGTGGTCTGATGGTGAAAGACTTGTCATTCATACATGACTCTGCCGTCACAGTGACATCAAAGGAAATCTGGAGAGGGCAGTTAGGGTGGGGCAGTCAGACAGAGGTCTAATACATTTTTTCAACATTTTTAACATATAAACTAAATGCCATGTAGAAGTCTTAAAACCATCCCCTTCATGTATCCCAGTATCTTCTGGGGTATAGTGCATGAGTAAAGGGTGCCAGTGCCATTACAATGGATCATTTGGTTTGTTTATAGACAGACTGAGCTTTGTCTGCATTGGCAGGAAGTCAAGCACATTCTCAGTTTGTGCTGACCTCTGCCAGGGTTGTGCCTTCTTAGTTATTCTGTCTTCTGTGAGAAAAATCTCACGGCACAGCCAAAGTGAAGAGAATACATGTCTGCTTGTAGCAGATGATGATATTGTGCAAGTTTCATCATCCGGTGACCTATAACATGCACTTGCATGGTTCTCAGTTGACTGTGAAATGACTTGGATGAGATTCAGTGACCCGAAGACTGAGGCCATGATACTCAGCCCAAACAGTGGATCAGTCCTTTGGGACCATTCTACCTTGGGAATTCAAGTGAAGGAGTTAAAATATGCTGGGGTAAGATAAACATCAGATAGATAGATAGATA